AGTCTACCCGTGCTGAGTCAGCAGTCCCAGTCAGTCCTAGTCCAGTCCAACAAGTACCGTACGGGACTGTGTGCACCACGGGCATGACAGAGGGCCAGACCAACGAGCTACAGAAGTATAAATTGAGAGGCAGCGACCAGCCATTCATTCATTTCCTGCGTAAGCCATGCGGAAGCGCTGCCATAGCGACTTGTGCGAGGTGGCCTGCAGAGAGCCCGAGGACGAAGTGGGAGAGAAGAAGCTTAGCCATGGCGATAGGATAGCAGCGGCCATAGCCGCCATAGCTGTAGATGTGTGTGGGTGTGTGTGAGTGTACAGAGTTTGTTGTGTGTGGGGTATCCAAGGTGATCCTGTGTGCGAACAACAGTGTCCAGTGAGTGACGAACAGAGAGTTGTAGAGGCGATGTGCCGCCATAGCCAGTGGAAGTGAACTTGTATCTGAACTGAGTTCTTGGTACTACATCTCTGAGTTCTGAGTGGGCGCTTGATGCCAGTTTGCTGCGCAACCTGTTTGCATACATGTGAAGTGTGAATGAATGCGAGTCTGATTGCAATGGTGGCCATTTTGACAATTTGTTGGCCTGCAAATGGAAGCCACAGCTGCAATTTTGCTGGGTTGCAAAGGGAGGGCACTGCTGTTGCATGCATATGCAACATAGGACGGAAGTTCATTGAGCATGGCCGAAAAGGATAAGAAAAAGAGGAGTGGGAATCGGCAAAACGGAACTAATCTGACAAATTGTGAAAAGAGTCATATCATGTGAAAATCCATACACTGAAACACATACATTAAACATGCCTTTGTATGGCTGCATAGTGTAACAGTACAGAGGATAATCTGGTGTGCATCATAAGCTGACATCAATTTTGACTTCAGGCAACGGTTTCCACCAATCTCTATTGGATGCAGAAGTTCTAACTAATTGCTCTAATTTTAATTTCAGAATGACCTGTCAGTGCTGTCACTGATTACTCAAAATCATTGGTATTCCGTTTGGTACTGCCAGCACCATTTTCACGTGTTTCGAATCTTCAGTTATTTTCAACGAGAAACTTTGAATGCTTCTGGATCTATGGTTTTAATTCTACTCTCTACTTGTAGTATGCTTTTCATGATCTCATCTTATGATTCGGTTGCCATGAATTTAGCCGTTGAACTAGAACGAATTTATGCATTGTGAAGTTTCTTTCTTCTCTGTCCTGACTCGTGAAGCGGTCCCTTCGAAAAACTAGTGGAGTGTTGTTTTCAAGTGCCTTTATTTTGATCACTTGGGATTCGCTCATTTCTCCGCTTGAATGTTCAGTTAATTTATGAAGATCATCACCTTTTTTTTCCTAGCAAATCCTTGTTTTTTCAAAGCATCCTGTATTTCACCAGATAAAGATTGAACTGGACTTCTTTTTTTTTTTGTTTGTTTGTTTTTTTGTTTTGTTTAGTTTTGTTTTAGTCAAACGTTGTCTCCACAAGACACCTTCAAGAATCCACCGAAGAGCTAAGGTTTCTTGACGACTCTTTGGTATAATGGATGTTCATGGCAGGTTTTTCAGCTGTACGAGATGATTCTTGTTCGCCATGGTCTGATGCTTGTGGGTTATTCATACGGTGCAAAAACCTCAGCCTATAGAGCACTTGCTGGAACACTCACTGACATGTCTGAGAAGGGTGAAGGGGAGTGTAAAACAAGGTGCAGTGTCATTAATCCGAAAGCAGTCTACATCGGGCAGCTATATGGACAGTTTGACCCTCTCTCCCACGAGTGGAAAGATGGAGTACTTGCCAAGACTTTTCGCACAGCTGCAGCAGATACATCCCCTGACCGAAAATGGATTATATTTGATGGACCTGTTGATGCGGTGATTCCACTGTTCTCTGCCTCTGCCTCTGCATCTGGCTGCCCCCACCCAGCCCGCTCCCCCGCCCTCCTTTCTGTCGCTCACACACACCTCCAACCTCTTCACCTAGTATGTCTATCTCATATAAGTTTCACCAACCACTCTCCCAGAACTGATAGCCCAAGGTGGTTACCACCACAGCCCGCCCCAGCAAAGCAACTCCAAACCTGAGCAACAAACTGTTCGAGGAGCTGGCAAAGCCCTCTTCACATCTTACAAAAGGGAACTGCCAGTGAACCATGCACGGAAACACCAGAAGGAGAAGGAATGAGGGCCTGTGACAAAGTATTTCATCAGACTTCCAACGACAAGTCAAGGTCGAAGCCTCCAGGCTGTGGGTGTGCAGAAAACCACTGCCCTGTAGCGGTGCGTGTGATGAAATTTAAAGCACAGTATCACCCATCCACACCATGGAAATCAACGGACAGTAACTGTACACCCGATCCAAACGCAGCAAAGAATCAATGTAATAAAGACCGCTCTGCCAAGGCTAGAAAACGGACTCCAGTTACACTGTTGGTGATCAAGGCACATCATGGCTACCTGGTGACCGCCCCAACCACTGCCATTCGAAACCTGACCAGTGAGGGCGCTCGTCCTGTTTGTATACGGTAACAGTGGCCGGGTGAACCGCAGTCAGGAAGGGAGAAAGGGATCAGAAATGGACTGCTGTGAAATCCTGTGATAGACTGTTAGATCTGGCATCTACCAACACACAAGGAGGCTGAACCCTTGAGAGGCCGAAGCCTTGATAGTTTGGAGTCTGCTAAAACATGATGCTAAGAGCCTTAATAGTTTGCAGAGTCTGCTAAAACATGGTGCTAAGTGATAATCCTCCTTAACCCCAGCTGTAGATAAGCATCAATAGACTGAACCCCAACTGATACCCTGAACTGGGCACCAACCATTGCCTGCTACAGAGCTTGTGACGAAAATATGTGGAGTGCATCAAAGGCCAGGAAACCCTTCACGAAAGAAAGATGATTTTTTCTGCTTTCACAGATCAAGATCCAAATCGCAACAGCAAGATCCAAACATTATGAGCTCACACAAAGCTTAATTACAACTTGAAACGATATACACAGGTATCTCAAGATCGCGGCTACGGCCGCCAGCACAACGGCAACAGGTAAGTCTCTCTCTCTCTCTCTCTCTCTCTCTCTCTCTCTCTCTCTCTCTCTCTCTCTCTCTCTCTCTCTCTCTCTCTCT